AGACTAATGAATTTTTGCGGTGTGCTTTAGTACAAAAGGATCAGATAATAATTATCTTCCTTGTCTGCTCCAAGAGCTCAAGATTTTTAAAGGTCACTATTGTCACAAGCCCTGAAACACAGTATTTCCTGAAGGCATTAGGAAAGTGGTAGCTTTTTAGGATCCTCTGTATTGATGTTAATAAAATAGGCAAGAATTAATCTTCTCCAGCTCTTGGCCCGGCCCCTCTTGTTCCAGATGCTCTGATGGACCGCACGCTTTATTATTACAAGGAGGTTAATATGGCGGCCCCCTAGGAGGGAATGTGTAATTCTGCCCAATTTCAAATTACTTAGTTATTATGAGACCCTCACTTCAAAGGCCTTTGTTTGTTGTTTGTTTCTCTGTTTGTTTGTTGTTTGTTTCAAGGCTTTAATTCCACTAGCACAACTTAGCATATAGTGATAGGGTATGGGGTTTGTTTGTTTGTTTTTTTCCCTTCTATTTTCCCCAGTCATTCAGAGCTTCCTCCAACCACTTTGAGAATAAATAGCTTCATTTAATTAAAGAGAATATCTTCCAAATCTACCATAAACTTCACTTTGGTGGATAGCCCCGGATCCCATGAGAACCCTGGCTTCTTTCTATAATATCCAGGTAACTTTGAAGTTGTTTGAGTGAGAAGCTGGATGACAATAAAAGCAGTTGAGTGGAAATATCCTCTTCTAGGATTGTAAAAACATTAGAAGTAGAACAAATGAACATTTCAGGGTAGAGATGTTTTCACCTGAAATCCCGGATTAAATAATAATACTGGCTTAAGAGGTGCCTGAGTGGCTCAGTTGGTTAAGCGTCTGGCTTTGGCTCAGGTCATGATCCCAGGACCGTGGGATCGAGCCCCGCGTCAGGCTCCCTGCTCAGCGGGGAGCCTGCTTCTCCCTCTCCCTCTGCCGCTCTGCTTACTTGTGCTCTCGCTCTCTGTCAAATAAATAAATAAAATCTTAAAAAAAAATAATACTAGCTTAACACAAGTTTTTTTAATAGCCAACAGTGTTTGTTATTTGGTAGTGTGTGTACTTTTTTTTTAAGGCAGATAATTAGTCTGGCAAACTAACTAATCACGATGTTAAATAACAGGAATCATCAATACTGTTGAAGGGGAAAAAATCCAAACAAATAATTGGATACTAGACTGTTTTTCTCTTCAGTTCAATTCAGTTTTTTCCTCTCGGTAAATTCTTCTCATTCTCCTTTTACTACAACAGCTATAAGTTAGTGTCATCAAAACCAACCATTCTGCAGAACACAAACACACTCTCCTGTGTGGTCACTTAAAAATTTTCTCTTTCCATTTCCATTTCTTCTTTTGAATTAGATCCTGTAAAATGCTTTTGTGATAACATGAAAATGTAGGCTCGCCTGGCAGTGAACAGTGTATTTGTTTATTCCAAGCCCAGTTAAATTTAATGATGCAAACCCAAAACAGTGTTTTAAAAAATAGTATGTATGTACATGTGTGTTTGGGTGTATGTATGATTATATTTATACAAGCTTGTTTCCTTTTCATAAAAGCTGATACCCTAAAAACAGTCTCTTTAATTATATATCTCTCTTAGTTATATAAAGCATAGTTTAAAAAAACAACTAATACATGTTACTTTGGGTTTTATCTCTGAAGAGAAGTAATGGAAAGGATTTTTGATACCCAAGATGTTGCTTGGTAATAACCATAATTATTTTCTAAATTGATTACTATGGTCTAGGTGCTGGAGTGCATTATCTCTTACTTAACCCTAACATGAGGGTGGGGTTAGTTCCTTTTTACAGATGAATAAGGCAGAGTTTAGGGAAGCTGGGGTTCATGCCAGGGCCAGGTGACTCAAACATCAGAGCTCTGCCCCTGTCTCTCATTGCCTTGAGTTTCCACTACTTACTCTTGAGGACCGATTTAGTTACTGGCAGAAGACAGCCTGCAAGTTCCCTTGAGATCTGGACCTCCTCATCACTCCAAGTTCCTCTCGTCCATTCCATCCTCCCCCTCAGGGTGCTGCAGCCCCATGTCTTTAATCCCGCCACTATGCCCAGCTTTTTTCCACCCCAGGGCAGAAGCTGGCTTCCTGCTCACCCCAGCTGGACACTCCTCCCCCAGCCCGCCCTACTCACCTTCACATCTAGCCCCAGACGCCACCTGCTCTGCCCTGGCCTCTCCCTGCCACCACTTCATCCTCTTTGTTTTCATGGCTCCCTTTCATAGGACGCTGTTCCTTTCTTTCCTTTAAGTAATGATGATACATTTATAATTTATTTAAGTCCTTTAATTTCTATGCCCTCAATAGACTGCAAACTCTGTAAGGGGACTTTGACTCACCTTTGCATCCATGACAAGGACAGTGCCTGGCATGTCAGTGGGACTTACATATTTGTGGAACACATGAGCTTACCAGCTCTTTATCTAGAAAAACACATTAAGAGGACCATTTGGAGTAACTTTTGTGCTTTTAACTGGTTACAGAACAAATACATCTTTATTATTAGAAATTTGGGAAACTCAGAAAAGCACAAAGAAGAAAATGAAAATTAATCATAGTCCCCATACCCAGAAATAATCAGTTGACTTAACATTGTGGTGTATATCTTTTGAGTCTTTTTTTTTTTTGTCTGTTTCTTTCCGAGTTTTTATTTAAATTCCAGTTAGTTAACATACAGTGTAATATTAGTTTCAGGGGTACATTATAGTGATTCAACACTTCTATACAACATCTGGTGCTCATCACAACAAGTGCCCTCCTTAATCCCCATCACCCTTTTAACCCATCCCCCACTCATCTCCCCTCCAGGAACCCTGTTTATTCTCTATAGTTAAGAATCTGTTTTCTGGTTTGCCTATCTCATTTTTCCCCCCATGTTCATCTGTTTTGTTTCTTAAATTCTACATGTGAGTGAAATCATATAGTATTTGTCTTTCTCTGACCGGCTTATTTTGCTTAGCATAATACACTCTAGCTCCATCCACATTATTGCAAATGGCAAGATTTCATTCTTTTTTTATGGCTGAGTAATATTGCACTGTATATACAAATATACCATATCTTCTTCATTGATTCATCAGTTGATGGACATTTGGGCTCTTTCCATAATTTGGCTATTATTGATAATGCTGCTATAAACATCAGGGTGCATATATCCCTTCAAATCGGTATTTTTGTATTGTTTGAGTAAATACCTAGTAGTGCAATTGCTGGGTCATAGGGTAGTTCCATTTTTAACTTTTTGAGAAACCTCCATCCTGTTTTCCACAGTGGCTGCCCCAGTTTGCACTCCCACCAACAATGCAAGAAAGTTCCCTTTCTCCCCATCCTTGCCAACACCTGTTGTTTCCTGTGTAGTTGATTTTAGCCATTCTGACAGGTATGAGGTGATATCTCATCAAGTCTTTTTTCTATCAGCAATACACTTATAAAGCAAACCGTTTTAAACAAAGCATTAACATTTATTTAAAGAAAGAGTACCTCAAGTTTTCAAGTATTTAAAGTGTATCTTCTGTTTGTTAGTGAGAGCTAATATTTTAGGACTGGGCAGTCATTTAAAAAATTGAAGAAATTGTATTCATTTTTTAAGTTGCCCTGAAAGTGAAGTAGTTTGTGAAGTTAAAACCATTTGCCTAAACTCAGTTTGCCTAGTTTAGTTTATGTAGCTTGTTAAATGTTGACATTCTCTTTTCTTAAAATGTTTTTCTCCAGCATCTCTGCTTTTTGATGTAAAATGCCCCCTCCTTCTTGAAGACTTTCCAGATCACTAGAGAAGAACATGACCCTGATCTCCAAAACTTGAGTGTACTTGATACTCCATGTTTAATCTCCCTGCAGTCATCTGATTTTATCCCTCCCTTCTTGACAAGGGGGAAGGCAAAAGTCATAGCTTTTTTCATCTAGCAATTGTATACAGAGACTGACACAGAACATATAACACAGTAGGCATTCAATAAATGTCTGCTGAATTAATAAATATTAATATGTGTCCCACTGTTGGTAATGGCCTAGCATCATTTTCATATATGACACATAGAAAATAATATGTAAGTTGCCAGGGTCCAAGTCACTGGCCAGCCGTGGTGGTCTGGGTTCCTTTTTTATGATGGTGCCAATGTGATTGGCAGAGACAAATTTTAATTCCATGCATAATCAAGCCAAATTGCAGTTGGCTTGTGTTCCTTTGGACAAACTAATTATGCCATTGTTCTGCCGGTATTTCAACTCTATATTCTGTCTCATTGTTTCTCATGCTTCAGTGCCTTTAAGACAGACAAGAATTTATATAAAGGACAGGTGCAACCAAGGTAACTCCCTCGTGGAGATTACTGCCCAGCTCACAGCCTTGTCCTCATTACAGAGTCTCAAACATTTGCACATGTACCCCTTAAGTCTGCACTCATCAAGTGAAGGGCCATGACACTTGGGGAGAAAGACATCAGCTTAATTAAGTAACAATTCTGGGGTGTGGTTTTCATGTAGCATTCAGCCTGCAGGCTGGGAGCCCAAGTCCAGCTTCTTGCTCAGGAGTGTGGTGGCCCAGCGCCGCTCAAATGCCGGCCTCTCTGCTGTGTAGTGGGGGACAAGTTTCTTATCTCTCCAAGTCTTGGTTTCTCTCTCTGTAAAAAAAAAAAAAAAAAGGGGGGGTAATGATAAAATCTGCTCCAGAGGGTGATTGTGAAGATTAAATTAGATAATCCATTCAAAGCATTTAGCATGGCGTCTGATATAAATAGGTTCCATAAATAATAGTTATTTATATTAAAATTGAGCCAGAGGCAATAGCCGCGTGTGTATGTCTGTGTGTGTGTGTCCATAAATATATATGGTGTGGCCTGAAAAATGGCAAAGTCTTGGCTGGATTATTCAAATTGCAAATAGATCAGAGTTTAGCCCCGCCCCCTCCTCCACACATATATACACACACATGCGCACTGACACTCCACAGCTGACCTTAAGGCAGGGACGGGTTGTGTGATCTGAGACACAGAAATGAGAAACAGCGCAAGCAGCCTTTTCCCTTCCCTGGCCTGCCTTGGAACTGCCCAACTGCAGTCTGTATTTCCAACCTTTCTGGAGCGGGCAGTGTGTCTGACCAGGGAGAGCAGTGGCAAGGACAGCGCTGCTGAGAACCAGAGAGCAATGGACGCCTTAAGAGGCAAGCCTGGGGGCACTCCTGGGTAGCTCCTCTGGTTGGGCAACTGCCTCTAGCTCAGGTCATGATCCCACAGTCCTGGGATCGAGCCCCACATCGGGCTCTCTGCTCAGCGCGGAGCCTGCTTCTCCCTCTCCCTCTGCCTGCCGCCCTGCCTGCTTGTCCTTTCTTTCTCTCTGTGTCAAATAAATAAATAAAACCTTAAAAAAAAAAAAAAAAGAGGCAAGCCTGGGTGTCGGGAGGCAAGCCTGAAGGGAAGCATGGTGCTGCCAGGTCAGAGTGGACAAAAATTCTTGGTCCTCCGGATCTAGGGATGAAGCTCAGTTCAACCTGGTGTCTTGTAGTGCAATAGTCACTGAAAAGGAAACACGTAGAACTTAGCAAAGAAAGGATGACGAGCACAGTTGTCTCTGCTCCTGTTCGGTCTATGAGACACGCCTTGGTGTCGTGAATAGCTTGGATGCTTGTTGACGCAGGACTGCTGAGAGAGCTGGAGAACCCAGGATGAGAGGGGTCGCTCTTGGAATTACCTGACACAAAGTTTCCTTTGTATTTGGAAATTTCAGGAGTTAGGAGGGTTCCTTGGCTATTTAATGCATCTTTTAAAACATGGTATTTAGATCAGGGAGGCCCTGTCCACAAAAGGAGAAGACAAGTGAATCATGGCTAACCATATTTCAGGAGCTTTAAAGTCTGACTCAGAAAAGACTGTTGTTGATTTAGCTCCTGCACGTTCCTGAGTGAAGCCCCTGTTTATTTAGTCATTCATTCATACAGCCATTTTTTTTTTGACTATTTAAGTGTCAAGCACTGTGCTAAAAGCTGGGAAAACAGAGATTAATATCAGACACATCAGTAGGCATTTAGGAATAATTAGTTGCAATCATATATTGATTATATGATTGCATATATGATTCCCCATCACCGTCTACTATAACTGTGTTTAACAAAATAAGGTCACAGCCTCCTCACAACTGTTTATAAAGTATCATTGAAAATGATCATCTTCCAGCAAGGAGAGGGTGGTGGAGGAGAATTTTTTAGAAAAGAAAAAGACCCAGAAGAAACTGAGTCTTAAATGATATCTAAGAAGCTTGCCAGATAAACAAGAAAAATAAAGAAATTCTGGATATGGGAAAGAGAATGTTTCAAAATTTGCCTGTGTTCCAAATTGCTTGAGAATGTCAGGGAGGAGAAGGAAGAGGGGAAGATGAAGTGATACAGGTTGGTAGAGGCTAGGCATGAAGAAAGGCATAGTGGCAGAGGGAGACTACAAAGCATGGCTTAAATCTCATTTATGCCAATTAATAATTGCTTTGTGACTTTGGAAATCACCGCAAGATTTCATTTCTTCATCTACCACAATGAAAAGCACAAATGTCTTGAAGGGTTGGGGTAAGAATTTGTAGCCATGTGGACATGTAGAAAGTACTCAGTATTTGACTACGATCATTTTTCTTTAAATGCCATACTGAAGAATCTGTGCTTCATTTGTTTGTTCAAAAGAGCCAAGATTTCAGTTGGTGAAGCGGCACTGTTTGCATTCATTTTCTGGGTGAACGGGAAGAATAAATTTGACTTTGAGCAAGTTGCTCAACCTCTCTAAGTCTGAGTTTTTGCATCTGTAGAATGGACAGCAATAGAACGTACCTTCTCACCTTATTATGAAGATTAAATGAGATCATGAACAGCCTTTAGCACTGTGCCTAACCCAACAGTAATCTTTCAGTATGTGTTAGCTATTGTTCTTACTCTCTTGATAGGCGTGAGGTTGAAAGCAAAGAGACAAGCCAGCTGGGAGGCATTTGTTAGGGTCTAGTTGGGAAGCAAGGTAGGGCCATGTATTGTAAGATGGGCTGCAGAGCTGGATGTTAATTTAAGAATGAAAATCAACAAGCCTACGATTCTTTGAATATGGAAGATAATCTCACTGTTGGTATTCTTTCCTTCACAACATGTTTTTTTTCTCTACAGAGTAAAAACTATCATTACATCTATTTTTCTAATGTATGCATTTCATATTAAAGGCATACATCTCCCAAACAGTCGGGTCCCCATTCCCTGATGTCCCTACTAATGAACCATTGCAGTCAAGTGTCACAGCTTAAAAGAAGAGGCTACTTTGAGTTCAGCAAAATTGGAACAAGTACTAGAGACCACAGTTGGATTTCACAAATCAACAGAAGTCCAGCAGAAGCTGTGACTTCCAATCTGTACCAGATCTGCCCCCTTAACCTTGCACACAAATTTAAATATATTAAAAGGATTATTAACAACATTAAACAGTTTAACAGAAATCAGCCTAAACAATGAAACCATCTGGATGTAGCTAGGATCAACTACTCTGGCTCCACTATAATAGAAAAACAGTTTAAATCATCTCTGGTTCTCAAAAAGAAAAGGACACAAAATAAAAACTGGCTTCCTTGCAAACAAATGGCAATAAATCATATCAGAGTTCTTGAGCTGGCAGAAAATATCTTTCAAGAACACCAGCATGGCCTTACATGGAAGATTTGGCTATTGTCTTCCAAACATTTACAAAGTCCCTTTTAATTCTTGCAAGAACTTGAATCTAGAAAAAATCTACAACATTTGATCAAACCCCTCATGTTCAGGAAGGGCCACCCTCATACCACTCAGACTCACAAGAATATGTGTGAATTTTGGTCTCTATTTTTGCACATAGCAGTTCCCATCAAGGCTTTGCCCTTCATGCTTACATAAGACCCTGCATATTGCCGTGAAGGTCACCAGGTTTCATTCTCAATTTACGTTGAAGAGCTGCGAATCATCATAAATCCTCGTTCACATCTGTAGTACTCCAGTAAGTTGCTCCTTGATTTTCTGAAAATTTTAAAGTGTTTGTTCAACCTCTCAAGGATTAGCTTTGTGAGTATTCTCATTGTATTTTCCAGGTTAAACTCCTCCCTCATAGCAGCTCAGAGAATTAAAATGATAGTCAAGATTCTAGAGTATTGCTCAGTAAACTGTAAGTGCCCACTCCTTGGTTCCTGAGTCCTTCTGATTAGCCTGGGATGGTACTCACAGAATGGTGTGATAAACAGCCTCTTATCTGGAGGGCTCCTGGTGATCCTTGACTCCTGGTAGTTATGTCTTTTTATGTTCCCCTGGACTTAGAGTGTGGGCTGGACTTAGTGGCTTGCTTCTAACAAATAGAATACAGCAGAAATAATGGGATGCCACTTATAGCATTTGGCTACAAAAAGATCAGCTTCCACTTGAGGCACTCATTCATTCACTCTTGCTCTCTTGGGTCACTCCCTCTGGGGAAACCAGCACCTGTGACACAAAGCCGTCCTGTGGAGGTGCCCATGTAGCAAGGGATAAAGGCCTGCATTGGCCCTGCCCCAGCATGCCTTCAAGTGAGACCACAGCCCCAGCCGACACTTGAGTACAATTTCATCAGAGACTTTGAGCCAGAGGCACCGTAAATCTGGCCTTGATTCTAGACTCACTGAAATGGTGAAATAATAAATGTTTATTGTTTTAAGCCTCTCAGTTTGGGGGCAATTTGTTACACAGCAATGATAGTGAATACAAGCGCTAAGACTGTAGATTCTGGAAACATAATATATGCATTAAAATCTTGCCCGAATCATGTATTAGTAAGTGGCTATGGGGTAACTATTTAATTTTTGTAAGCCTGAGTTTTCTAGTTTATAGAAAGGCCATGCTAATAATAATACCTTCTTCATAAGGATGGTTATTTGGGCATTAATTGAGATAATGTACATAAAGCGCTTGACAGACCACCTGGCTCATCAAAAGTACTCATTGAATGTTGTTTTATTTTTATTATTCTATTTAATGCTTATCACTCTTAGATACTGATTTTTGCCTAGGGTTCTGTCCTTTATCTTCCCATGATCTGTCTCTGGGTGGTTCTCTTATACTCCAGAATGTTACTTCCCACCTATGTACTTGTAACTACCAAGCCTCTACATCTCCTACAAACTCAAGATGTATGTTTATTTCCTACTGAATAATTCTACCAAACTGTCCCACTCACAGGTATCTCAACTGCGAAATTCATCTCCTTTTCCTCCTGGCCTCACATTAGCTGTGGCTTCTATATTCTCTTACTTGGGAGGAGCCATCATCTAAGAACCTTGTTCCAAGTATGAATAGCCAAGATTGTGATAATTTATCACACTATTCTGTGAGTATCATATCAGCCTAATTGGAAGGACTCAGGAACCAAGGATACTCTAGAATCTAGATTATCATTATAGTTCTTTGAGCTGCTATGAGGGGGGAGTTTAACTTGGAAAATATAATGAGAAAACTCACAAAACAATCCTTTAAAACAATTATTGCAAGCACACAGTGCTCAGTGTACAAGGAGATTCATCATAATGTGCTAAAAATTAGGGACTAAGTGTCCATCGATAGAAAATCAATTAAATTATGCTCATAAATAATAATAATTAACATGTACTTAGTCCTTGCTATGTGGTAGGCCCAATGTTAAGAGCATTATATATATTGTGTCACTTAAATCATAGCAACCCTATTTATATTCATTCAGTGGGATTCACACAGCCCATTTTAAAGGATGCTATAGGTATAGATTGACCAGTATAGAAAGATACTCATTAAATATTATAAAATGAAAAAAGAAAATTATGAAAGATACAATATTAAGACACACATCTATGCATAGATGTGAACATATATAATAAATAGCTTTTCATTACAGGCACTTTGCACAGTTTCGGAATCCACAAATTTTCGGTTACCATGATTTAGTGAAGTAATGCAGTTCAAACGTCAGTTGCTGTAGCATATTACTGTGAAGAACAAAGTACAGAGTTCATTTCTAGCTCTTCAGTTATGATCGGTAACCAGTCACATCAGTTGTTTCAGTCAGTCAGTGATCAGTTACTGTGCATCTGTTGTTCAGTTCACAAAAGTGTGTAGTTGTGTTACCACCTTGTCTTTAAAGGAAAACTTGGGTACTTGAAAGAGAATTGACCAAGAAAGGTGAAAGTGCAGCAGAGA